AACATTTTTTTCCATCTCACTTCTACAGATAGAAATCTCCAGGAGTGATGCTTAGTTTTTGAAGAAAAGAAAAAACAGTGAAGAAGGAAGGAAGGACGGAGTTCACTTGTATGTGCAGCCTAGGCGTAGGCTTCCAAAGGTGCATGCCTTAGGCAGCAAAGTATGCAGCGTGAGTGTGCTAGTGAACGACGTTGAGGCAGTAATCCAGAGAGAGGTTAGCCTGAATTGTGGAAAGAACTGAGGTTGGCATGTGCGACAAGAAAAAGGCGGCTCCTCTGAAACTATAGCAGTGAACAGTGCTGCGTAGCTGGAGGACCTGCTGTGGTACGTTGCAGTCTCCTGGCTCTGGTTTATTTTTTTCCAACTCAAGTGCAAGTGGTAGTTTGTGGTGGGTACTTGTGACTCCCTGTGCTTCTGGCTGTTTGATGTACTTTTATATTCTGCCCTGTTGTCTATTTCCAGAGATCATTACCTAATACAGAATCTGAGAATGATGATACCATGCCTATCATGTGGGAAGGTCAAAGCACTTTCATAAAGGCACATATTACTGGTCTTCCCTCGTTTAGGGTGAGAATTGAGTCACAAAGAAGTTCAATGACTTGCAACAAATATTTCAGTTTCTCACTGGTTGCTGGCACTGAAATCCAGATCTTCTAAGTCCTGGTCAAACTGTCTTGTTGGTTGTCTGAAAGATTGTTCCAGAAGGTCTGTAACATGTACTCAGTAGTCATGCAGTGCTCTGCCAAAACAATGTAAAATGGGAAGCGCAATCGCTGGAACCTTGTCCTTTCCTGACAGCTATACCTCCCTCCCAACAGTAACTCTCTCAGTCCTACTAAAACACATTGTCTCCATACCAGGTTCCTCCTCTGCAGGTACCTAGCACCCTCCAGCTCTGGCTTGATCCACTGGTGTGGGTGCATTGACAGCAATCCTGTGTAGCAAGGGTTGTAGTATAGCATCACCAGTCAACCAATATCCTTGGGATTTTTTTCAAACATAGTAATCTTTGATAAGAGTTGCTGTTACTTAGGACAAAGTCATGAAACTGCAGCTAGTAGAACTCAAGAATGAGGGACAGTAATCTACACAGAGAAAAGAGGACAACACAGCTAGTGTGTTTCCTCCTCTGGGATCTTCCTCCACCATTCAGTGGAACCAGGAGCGGAATCCAGATTTTTGACTTCAAGTCCACCACAATAGCTGCTGCAATTCCACCATAATCAAACAGCCTTGGTACGTCAACATGGCAGAGCACACCACCACTTCTTAGCCAAGTCAGCCGGGATAATGTCAGTGCCCTGGGTGCATTCCCCTCTCTCCTGGGGGTTTAGGCAGCTTAATTAGAGAATGCAACTTAGGCAATGCATCTAGCTTTGAGGCATCTCTGGCCACAGTGCCGGCTAGCCTTGCAGCAATTCAACAAAAAGTTGGAAGAAGCTAGGTTCTTCCCACCCTGCCACCATCTCTTAGGAGCTGTGTACCCTTGTTGATCCTGACCTACAGACGTGGCTTCTTGGCTTGACCTCAGACCTGTCCCACCACCACGGCCTTGTCTGGTGACCTGGACTCTTGACCTGCCTCGCTTGTCCTTTTTGGCTATTGTGGGACAGGCCCCTTGTCAGTAAGTTGTCCCCCTCGCCTGCCTGCCTGTCACCCTCAGCTTCTGGCTCGCTTTCCCCTTCAGAGCATCGCCTGCCCTTACTGCTCCCCAACACGCAGCCCGATGGCACAGCTCAAGTTACATGTCTACGTTGGTTCTGATTCCCATGCTGGGCTGGTCAGAGCTTGTTGAGGTGTCTTTGCGTGCCACTGCTCTTCACTCAGCAAGCAAGCCAGTTCTCTTAGAGCTTGCTTAGGGACCTCCGACGCAACGGTCACACTGTGTAAAAGGGCCCTTACCGCTCTCCCATGTGTTTCAAAATACCGTGATCGAGTTCTTTTCCACTTCAAACAGTGCACCATATTTGCATACTGTGTTGATGACACCAAAAAACCTCCTAAAACGAACACATTTTGACTACAGCTGGATGAATGCCATGACTGCTTGAGGCACCTTAGATCATTGCACAGTATTTGTGCCGTGTCACGCCCTGTGATGTGCAGTAATTTTTCTTTAACAGAGCTTTACTCGAACAGGTCTGTGGGAGGGAGAAGGCGGTTGTCAGCCAAGCTAACCGTCGGGAGTGCAACCCAGGCGCTACCTTCGGAAGGCACACGTGTGGCTTACACCCACTAAGTTTTACATAACCTAAATTAGGGTGGATCACTGGGTGCTCATTTGCTCGAGCAGCTGCCAGAAAGTCTTGCTTTCATCTAAACAAACCCGAGGCTGCAAGAATCCAGTGCCTCAAAGTAGGCCTTTTCAGCGTAACCCGAAGCAAATCAGTAAGTATTTCATTATGTAGAAGACTCTACTTATTCCTTTGTATAAATGGATTTTTTCTTCCATCTAATTGCATTATATATTTCCATGGTGTTAGAAGAGCTTTGGGGCTATAGATGCTAAAAGATGATGAAGCTCCTCTCACAGAGAGAACAGAGATGATTAAAACGGGTTCTGGAGAAGCTGGTACCAGCTCCCCACCCCTGACTTTTCTCATGCAACGTATCAGAACCCCAAAGAGAATTTTAGGAAATTTTCCCAACATTTCTAAAGTGTTGTATTTCACAAGTAGAAATTGCTGCTACAGAAAGAGATGGAAGCAGGATTCTGCTTTTGATTAGGAGTAAAATGACCAACAAAGACGTTCTGACAACAGTCATATTGGTTTGAGGCTCAACTGGATGCCTACTTCTTTCTCTCACTGTCTAGCGCTCTTCTGTAATACCTTTCCTTTTGTTAACATTTCACACTAGACTGCTTGTCTACAAAGGAGATACAAATACATTTTTTCATTTTCCAGCTAAAAGCAGAATATGATAATTACCTTTTGTATCTGTCTGTTCTTCTATTACTAATGAGACAGTGCATTTCCATTTCTCACTGGTTCTTTGCAAGCCAATCTAATCAAGGTGGTCCTCAGGAAAAAAAGTCTTGCTGCAACTTGATTCACCCTACTTCTCTTGAAAGTGAGGGGGTTTTGATTGTTTAACTAGCATTTGAGAAGTTTAAAAGTTTTGTTGTTTCAGATTTTTTTCATAAGATGTTATGGGATGAACTTACATTATGGGATGAATACTTATAACACTCCTATCTGGAGTCGTTTTCCATATTTCCAACGTCTGATGCTTAGCACGTTGGCTCTGTAGGTAGCAAAATGTCTTGCGAGGCCAAAGATTAGGAATTGCCAAGGCAACAGTTGATTCAAAGAGCGTGTTTCTTCCTTGTATTAGTTAAGCTAAGCTGAGTGGCTTGAAGAGTCGGCCGCTGCTTGGGACTTTGAGCTCATGAAACCATAGATTCTTGATGGGATTAGTGGTACATGTATGTCTCCCCAGCTCATTATTTGCAGATCCCAAAACAAACTAAACAAAACCTGACATGTGGTTGCTGTTTAGCAATTAATGGCCTGCTACAACAATTGTGTCTAGTATTTTTTGGTAAGGAATCTCAAATGGTGGTTTCAGTGGCTAGAGACTGAGGTAACAGGCAGATACAGCAGAGCAGGGAACCTTGCAATTGGCAAAGTAGCAATATAATTAACAGTATGTAAGTAAGGAGTAATTATAGAGCCTTTGGAATGGTTCTATGCAGTGAACTTTTGAAGAAAGTTGTTAATAAACACTATGCTCATTTTGACAGAAGGAAAAACTAAGATGCTTATTAAAAATGGAAAGAGATGAACTGTCAAGATGAGACTATGTAGGGCCAGCTATGACAAAGCCATGACGTTTTCAAGACCTGCAGTAGGATGTCTAACGTATTGTAAAGAGGTGTGAGTGCAAATACCCATTGAACTGAGAGCCAGTACAAATCTGAGTATAGCAAAATAATCTGGAT